TCATTAGTTATTGGGCCTTAGTTACTGGGCCTAATCTTATTTAGTGTTTATTTGACTAGGTGTCCCTCCACTAATCAGGGGCATTCTGGTCTATTTATGTAACATTATGTAATGTTGTTATATATAATAGATTAGGGCTGGCTGAGAACTAATTCTGCTGCCCATCCCATATCTTCTTCTTCTTCTCTCATTCGACAGCTCTATTTCAGCAAACACTTCTGTTATTACTTAATGAATAGGTAGTCCTGCAATGTTTTGCAAGCTCACAACCTTCACATTTCAAACTAGTCATCTAGACAGATTCAAGTATACTGGGAAACAAACTTTTCAAAGCCTGAAAGGATAAATGGCCCAATCTATTATGCCAAAGCATCACCTGATCAACAGGCTGAGAAACAAAGGATTTCTTTGTTTCACTATCTTCCTGATGAGCACTTCCTCCAAGTAGGTAGATTCCATTTATCTCAAGGCCAGTTCCAATGACCTTCCTTGTTTTCCAGATCTTGAAAAACACATCGATTAGGAAAAAAGGTTACTGAACAATTTTGCCCTTTTGTAATGCTACTAAGAGCAAGTTAGTATTAAGCTTAGGAACATGCAGGACAGAGAATAGGGAAATTGCATCAGACAATTTGATGTCTCCTTTGCCAGAAATAGGTACAAGGGATCCATCAGCAATTGACACTTTTTCTTTACTAGAAGATAAATGATAGGTAGAGAAAAGTGATGGCAAGCCAGTCATATGATCAGATGCTCCTGAATCTATTATCCAAGAATGTTCTGTATTACCTGGAGCTGATGCATGATAAGCTAAGGCCCAATTACCTGATTGAGCAAAAGATGAGGCTGAAGGAGTTGATGATGGTTGAGGAGATGATACTAAATTACTGACTTCACTTTCTAATTGTGTCAGAGCAGCTCGGACAACAGCTAGGGTATCAAGAGGGGTACCTCTTGAAGCCGTTGAGGCTGCACTATCAGTGTTGACAACCATATTGGCATTACCCTTTTTGTTTCTGAATTTTGCTGGAACTAGATGTGGATGCAACTTCCTACAAGTGTCTTTGGTGTGTTTAGGTTTCTTGCAATGTTCACAAACTAGGTCTTTTTTTGCCTCTTTCTTCATATCCCTTTCCTTATCTCCCCCTGGCTTGGGTTTAACTACTGTTAGGGCAGATTCGAAAGGCTGCTGCTGTAACATAACCTTTCTCCTAGTCTCTTCACTATGCACTACAGAATAGGCTTGAGATAGTCACACTTTCTCTTGTCAATAGCTGTTGTCTTACAATATCATATTCAGAATTTAGACCAGCCAAGAACTCAAATACTCTGTTAGTTTCAATTTGCTTTCTGTAAGTCTGTGCATCTTTTTGACTCTCCCATTCAATTGTCTCAAGGTGATCAATCTCATGTCACATGGATTTTAGGGTTGAGAAATAAACAGAGACCTGTTTCTCCCCTTGTATGAGATTTTTGACCTCACATTTCAGCTCATAAGCCCTAGAAACATTTAGGGGCTGAGAGTAGGTTTCTTTTACAACATCCCAAATTTCTTTAGTTGTTTTTGCCCATAAGTAATTTCGGCTGATGTGTGACTGCATAGAGTTGCACAATCATGTCATCACCAAATAATTTTCCTGAATCCACTTAGCATAAGTGGGATCCTCCTTGGTTGGTTCCTTCACATCTCCCAACAAATAGTTCAGCTTTCCTCTTCCCCCAATGGCCATCATGGCTGATTGGGCCCACTCTAAGTAGTTTGAACCATCAAACTTTACAGTTGTAATCTGGAAGGTGTTTTCAGCCATGCTGCCTGAACCAGCCCCGAAAACACCCTCCCCTTGGCTTTTAAACTCCATTAGAATGCTTTCTAATTACTGTATCAATCGGCCTACTGGGTCTGTCGCAGGTAACAGGAGGGTTCTGATTCAGAAACCCTAATTTTGTGACAGTCGGCCTATTGAGACTGAACTATATCAGTCCTGTCAAAAAAAAACTACTGGATCTTCCAAAGAGCAAAGGAAAAAATCAAGGGAGACAAATCTGATTACCTCCCTGAAGCAATAACAGCCCTGAAACCTGAGGGTTTTCTCTTAAACCCTAAAAAAATGCAAAATGGAAGGGTTTTTTTCTTAACTGTACCTCTTATATCAAGAGATCCTAGCTGCTGATTTCTGGTAAGGCTTGAAAACTTACCAGAAAATTCTGAGAAACTCTGATCTTGATAATCAACTTCAGTCTTGAATAGAAGAAACCGATCTTGAATCAGAATTCTTCTGAAACTTTGATCACCACCTCTAGTCTTGATCAAGAACTGATCTTTATCCTCTTCTCTTCCTCTGATTCTTGCTGGTTATCAAAGATCTGATCCAATCTTTGGACTGCTGCTGTAGATAACCTCCAAGAATCAGCCAAAGTGAGCTTTCTCTATTCTTCCAGCCCTAGGCAGTTCTCATGTGGTCGGCTGGATCAAACTCACATGAGAAGCCCTAAATTTGGTTCTGGCACCAAGTAGTCGTACAAGACTACAGAGACTCTTTAGGTTTTGAACAGAAAATAAAAGAGAAGAAGAAAAAGAGAAGAAGAGAAGAAGAGAGATAGAGAAGGAGCACTCGTGGGAGAAGCTTTGAAAGAAGAGAATGGTTGGAGTGCTTAAAACAGCCGCGCCCCACTCCTTAATTTATATAAATAGTTTCCTAATTGTAAAGGAATTTTAATGCTTACATGGCAATAAAAGATAAGATTAAAATAAAACTAATCCTAGATAAGATAGAATAAAACTTATCCTACTAGGAAAACTGATCCTAATCAATTAAATCTAAGTACATCTCAGGGTGTCAAACAAATACTCTTAATGTGGGGTCCACAATTTCCTACATCTACTAATGCAGATAAACTGAAAATTGAAATACAAGCACTACTAAGCTAGAGGAACAAGATGCTATAGCCCAAGCCCACATTGGGCTGGTCGAAAATGACGAAAATACCCCTGACCAGATCAGTCAAAGTCCCAAGAGTCTTCTCCATGCCAAATCAGAACCTGTTTATTGGCCTTCTTCTTACCAGAATAGGTCTTATAATGCATGGACCGATCTCCACCATCTCTCCCCGGCTTGAGAGAACTCGACCCTGGCGAGTTAAAGGCATGATATTGCTCATAAAGTTCTGGATTAAGATGATACAAATCTTCAGCTGTAATCCATGAACATTCTGAAAGAGGTAGGTTCTTCCACTTTACAAGAAACTTTTGATAATCCCCACTTGCTGTAGAAATCAACTTCTCATCAAGGATGTCTTCAAGCTCATTAGTAGGTGGAACCAAAGGTAGCTTAGGCAATGGGACCATGGGACAATCACTATGGCCATAATATGCACTTAGGTCTTCAACATTGAAGATTGGGCTAATTCCCATTTTGCTTGGCAGCTCTAGGACATAAGCATTAGAACTGATTTTCTTAGTGATCTTATATGGACCTGCACTCTTGGAGTGAAGCTTCTTATAAAAGCCCTCAAGAAAGCGTCCAGGATGTGTACACACCATAACCATATCACCCTCCTGAAAATCAGCTAGGTGCCTATGTAAATCAGCTTTGCCTTGTATGCATCATTGCTAAGAGCAATCTTGCGCCTAACAGCAATCCCTTGGGCAGCAACTCAAGACTCCATTAATCCTCCAAGAATCAGGCGATGATGCAGAACTTCCAGTCTTAGAAATTTCTCATGCAGCCGACTGGATTAGGCTCACATGAGAACCCTAACCTGTCCTAGTTTGGCTCTGATACCAACTTGGATAAATTAGACCAGAAATTGATTGTTTTCTGGTATAGATTCAGTAGAAAAAGAAAAGAAAGGAAGGCCATGAACAAAAGAAAAAGAGAGAAGAGAAGAAGAGAAGAAAGAGAGAAAGAAAGGGTGCGGTTCAATTGATTCTGCCGCCCCACCATATTAGTTTTTATATATTGCATCTTAATTGTAGTGGAGTTACATAAATACCCTTGCTGAAACAGAAATAAATATAAAGCAATATATCTAGTCTAACTACCATAACTACCATGCAATAAATATATAAAAAATATTAGTGGGACCACACACACACTAACAACTAACAACTATCTCTACAAGCTCAAACTAGGAGGATAAGTTGGAGAAGATGGAAGACCTGAAGCTGAAAGTGGCAAAAAAAAGGAAGGAGAGGAAGGATCATCTTCCATCCTACTAGCCTCCCCCTAAAGAGGATGCTGGAGGACTGGAAATAAGGTTGAGTCTTGAAAACACCACCCTAGGAAGACACCCATTATGGCCATAGGGTCCAACATTGTCTTCTTAGGATCTTTGACATGGATGAAGCACAAACAACCAAAGACTCTATGAGGAAGAGGAAAATCTTGAAGGTTAGGACAGAGGACAGAAAAAGGAGTTTTCATACCCAACACCCTAAATGGCATTCGATTTATCAGATACGATGCAGTAAGGACTACTTGAGACTAGGGGTGAGCATTATTTGGTTAAAACCGAAAAACCAAACTGAAAATTTTGGTTTTGGTTTTTCAGTTCAATTAATTCGGTTTTTGTAAATTTCGGTTTTCGGTTTTGGTTTTCAGAATTAAAAATCCGATTAACCGAAAAAACTGAAATAACCAAAATTCATTATATGTAATATATAATATATAACATATAATATATAATATGCTATATATTTATATATTAATATATTATATATAGTATATTATAATGAAATTCAATTTCATAATATATATTATAATGTATAATATATATTATACATTATAATATACAATATTTTATGTAAGCTAATGAAGTTCGGTTTTAACCGAAATAACTGAAAACTGAACTGAAAATTTCGGTTTCGGTTATTTTGGTTTTCTTTTAATTCAGTTTTGGTTCGGTTTTTATTTTTTATTTCGGTTTTTAGAATTTTGGTTTATTCGGTTCGGTTTTTAACCAAATATACCGAATGCTCACCCCTACTTGAGACCAATAGTTCTTGGGAACTTTGTGCTGGAACAATAGGGTTTGATCTGTCTCCAATAAGTGTCTATTCTTACGCTCTACAACCCCGTTCTGTTGAGGAGTACTAGCATAAGATGATTAATGCAAGATAGTTGCATCCTCCATGAATAGATTCAAGGAGCTTTCAAAGTACTCAGTAGCATTGTCTAAGCGAAACTGTTTAATTTTCTTGCTAAACTGAGTTTCAATCATTTTATAAAATGCCATGGTTATCCATGTGCATCGTGAATAGTGATCAATAAAGCTGATAAAATAACAAAAGCCATCTATAGAAACAAGGGGTGAAGGGCCCCCCACATCAGAATGGATAAAGAGGTCTACATTGTTTTGACAATTGACACACTTCACAAACCAAACTTTGACTCAAAACACACTTAAACAACTCAAGAAACAGTCCTTGCATTAAAGAAAATGACAAATGAACTTATCTTGCATGCCACAACTATAGCCCAGCTACTGACTCCTCATTATCCCAACCACTGAAAGTAGTTGATTGTAAGGTTGAACTGATGTTTGCATTGAAATAATAGAGCCCTCTAGGCTCATGACCACTCCCAATCGTTCTCTTCATCAATATGTTCTTAAAAACACAATGAGTAGGAAAGAATGTTATGCTGCAGTTTAAGTTTTCTTTTAAGCTTAGAAACAGATAATAGGTTTGAAGCAAGATTGGGGACATGGAGAACAGATTTGTGTGAGAGATCCTTGCCTAGGTTAACCTCCCCCTTTCCAGAGATGGTGGAGAAGGAACCATTAACTACTCTCATTTTATCTTGGCCATACATTAAACGATAAGAAGAAAACAAAGAAGACCCTGATGTGTGGGAACTATGGCCTGCCCCACTGTGTGCAGAAACAATACCTGATTTGGCAAGAGAGGTGGATGCAAGTGGATTGTTCCTTAGCCAAGCTTTCTACCTCATCAGCTGTGAAATCCAAAAAGGACCCTGATGTGTGGGAACTAGTGGCCTGTCCCATTAGAGGAGGAACAATTGTGGGTGTGTTCTTTTGGCTTTCATCATTGTTACTTATGACAGCACTTTCGCTTGTTGTTTGTCTCTTTTGAGGCTTCTTCTCCTTTCTTAATGCTGCTAGTTTCAGATAAGGATAAAGAATCCAACAAGTCTTTCAAATTTCCATTTCCTCCACAATGAGAGCACTTGAGGTGCCTCTTGTCTGAACTCTTGCCCCCCTTTTGGCTCATGCCTCTCCTTATCTCTTAAAATTTCCCAGTCAAGTACAAGATAGTGGTCTAGTTCTTTCCATAATCCTTCCAAGGTTGCAAAATAAGTTGCAACAGACATATCCCCTTGTATCAATGCAACAATATCTTGTGTTAGCATATAAATTCATGCATCGTTCTTCCATTGTCCATAGGTTTCAGACACCTCCCAAATCTTAAATGCTGTAGGGAAGTGCTGAACAGTCATGGCTACCCTTGGAGTCATTGAAGCAAGCAGCCAGGACATAACAATAGCATTCTCCTTGCACCAGGTTGAGTATTCAGGACCATCCTCTTTAGGTTCCTTCTTTCCATCTATATAACCCATGAGCTCCCTGGAAGTAATGAAGAGTTTGGCTGAAACAGACCATTCTCTGAAATTGTATTCATCCAACAACACAACACACTGGTGATTTGTAGACTATGCAGATTTGGATTTTCCAGGTTTGAGGATCTCCCACCAGTCCTATTGTCCTTAGAGGACACTTCCCCTGATATTGTGGAACCTGGGCTGTGAAGAACCTGGGTTGAGAAGAAATCCAACACTTCTGTGGCCTGTTCTTACTCTCAGGCAGAAACTAGGACTGTCTACTCAGTCCTTATCGTCGATTTGTTCTACACACATCTCTCTAGTAGCATAATGGCTACTGGCTGCTGTAAAACCACTAGAAGGGCATATACAGGCTGGGAAACTCTCTTTGGTCCCTACACCCAAAGAGAAACCCTAGGTACAGATATTTTTGTGGTCTACGACCAAACATAGGGCTTCTTCACAGTAGCCACACAAAAAAGGAAAGAAAGGAATAAAAGGAGGAACTAGATGTAATCAGTCAGGCCAATTGATGCTCTGATACCATGTTTGCTGAAATGGTGAAATAGAAGAGCAAGAAGAGAAGAGAAGAGAAGAGAACAGTGAATGGGTGGCAATGACTTCTCAGCCAGCCCTAGAACTGATATATATATATATATATATATATATATATATTGACATTAAGATGTTACAATAAAAATACTAGAATGCCCCTGATTAGTGATGGGACACCTAGACAGTGCAAAGAAATAAATCCAGTTCAGGCCCAATAACTAAAAGCCCATAACAGAATATAAAACTAAAACATAGCCCTTTTTTCTCTCTCCAATCCTTCCTGATTTTGGAGTCTTCTCCAAGAACTCTACCTGGGCAGCAAAGATATACCAAAAACTCCAAGGACCAGGATTTAGAAGGCAAAACAATCAGCACTTTACTCTTCCATTCAGTCAGCTGATCTCAAGACCACATGAAACCACACGACAACATAAAAAATGTTCTCTAATACTAAGTAGGGAACTTCTTAATGCAGAAAAATAAGGAAATAAACAAGGAAAACAAAGAGAAATGAAAGAAGAAGCAAGAAATAAAGAGAAATCAAAGTGCCAAGAGGAGATAGAAGAAGAAAGGGATGCCAACAGATATATGGCCTCTCCACACATTTATTACTTGTATTAAAACTGTAGACAACACTGATGTGGGCCCCACAGCTATGGTCCCACTATGTTCGTAGGGTAGAATGTGTTCTAGTCATCCTAGGGTTAGCTGGTGGTCAGTTAGTTATTTCAATTGTTATTTATTTCCGTTTTATTTTGTTCTATTTGTTATGTAAATACTAAGGGCAGATCTGTCCTTTCCATGTAATGAGCATAACCTATAAATACTAAATAGAAGTGGCGGCGGCAGAACATTTCAGATTCTGTCCCTCCTTTCAACCCTTTGTGTTCTAYAGTTCTCTCTTCTCTTTCTCTTCTCTTCTCTACATTTTCCTTCTATTTCCGAACCTGAAATCTATTAGGGTTCAAGGCTGATAGCAGTCTTGAACTTCTACTAAAACATTAGGGTATGTACAATGACAAATATGCCTAATAAAGAATCTGATTATGGGCTGAGGCCCTGATAACAATAACAATAAAGGATGATAAAAATAAACAAGGCCCAATAACACTTGTCAAGAATAAAAGTGGCTAATATGGGGGAGGTATAATATGGCATGTAAAAACAGTTGGTGAAATTTACCCATTTGGCTATTGCCACCTCATCAGCTTAGTACCTAATGTAGAACCAACTGCTCTTGTATCAATTCAATCTTTGGAAAGGCTTTCCATATCTTTTGGAGGAATCCACCTGCAACTAGAAAGAGAAAAAGATCATTCCCAGATTCTAGCTGATCATTTCAGTCTTATGCCAATTGTCAAAAGCACTATGCACATTTCTAGGACCTTTGGGAATAACAAAGATCCATTAAACAAAATTTGTTTTTTTTGGTAAGCCAGTAGATAAGATTTGTTGGAATAAATGTTATAATTTGTCTGATTGTAGAACAAAGAGTACTGTGTTAGTTGATGGGATGAACTTTCCTTCTAGACAATAATGACAACAAACTGCTCTATCTCTGGCTTCCTAATTGGTAATATGTAGCTACTCATTTTGTGCATAGAGTTTCTATAACAGGTTTTCCAGTTAATACAATGTGATTGGAGGAATTATGATTACCATTTGGAATCTAAGGCAAAAATTGCAATCATATTTTAGGAAGTTATGCCAAAACCATGAAAACAAACATCAGTCTTCCAAAGGGAGTGGTCAAAATGGGCAAAAATGTCAAAATGGGTATTTGAGAAACAAATGGGATGACACATGCATTGCATGTGGTATTAGTACTTAATAGTGGACAGAAAGATAAGAGGTCCACTATTTGTAATTTTTCTGTGTGCATTTGTGAAAGTAGGATAACTACTTTTAAATAGTAATATATGAAATGTATTACTTGAAACATTTTCTGTTGGTCACTGATCACATTTTCTAAATTTACATACTCTATTTTCTGAGTTGGCTGATAATTATCCTTTATGAAAAAGATGATGTACTAATTTTCTATTTAATTTTTTAGTGGGGTTTGAAACACAGATCATGTTTCATGAAGAATCATGATATGATCATCACTCGTCTGGCTTCAGGGTATGCATCTCTAACAAATAAAACTTTTTTAGTATTAACAATTTGTTGTTATGAATATATAGCTGTCATTTGTATGATAAATACAGCACTGTTTGCTGCAGCAGTCAATGGACTATTTAATAGACCACCTTTATTAAAGTTTTTATATGTAATGATCTCCATAACTTATGACCTAAATAACTTTTAAACATTGTTGATTTATTGATCGGTGTATGCCCTTTTTGTTTGTTAGAGTTTATTGTGTGTTCCATTCATTAACTTAAGTAGGGGCAGATATGTAATAGTATATTGATTTAGAAGAGTATAAATACCAGTTCCCTGCTAAGTGAGGTTATGCTTTTGACTCCACCAAGCAGATTTCTCTCTGAACCAGATTCACAATTTTTTCCCTGTTAACATCATGTTTTTTTTTTTTTTTTTATTTCTTATTCATTTCTTTCAATTATCAATAATTCCATATTGCACCACAATGAAAATAAGGCCATCAATATTAATATGGACAAGTCTTCTCTGCCAAAGGGAGGATTTTTAAGTACAGATTTGGTTGCAACCCGGGGAGGGATTGGATTGCAACTAAGGTGAACTGAACTAGTAAAAGGAACTAATCAACCTTGGGCTGTATTGTATCATTCCTCATACCTATGCATAAGGTATGAGGACTTATTCTTCAATAAAATATTAAGAAAAACAAAATAAAAATAAAAGAGAGAGAAAGAGAGAATCAGCCGCTGGTATCAGAGCATCGGAAGATCAAGGAGAGCATCAACCGCTGGTCGTGACTCACAGACGAACCTGCTGACATCATGTTGGGTAGCTGCCCAACTCAGATCCTCTTCGAGGGAGGATAACCTCCAGAATAGGGGAGAGTGAGAGTGAAGAAAGAGATCAAATCTTTTTATTATCCCCTTATTGTAAGTACACCTCTGTATTTATATTCAATCTTGCCTTCAATGTAACTGATTTACAGCAGAATTATAACAACTTGCCAACTTGTTTGATTTAGTTTACTCCAACTTGATTCAGTTAACTACAACTGTCTTTGCACTGGCTTCCTTATGCTGAGGTGGCCTTCTTCTCCTTCTAGAACATACCTGTAGTTCCTGTCCCCTTGTGCCTCTAACACATCAACACGCTGTCGGTGGATGTCTTTAGCCTGTACAATAGGCGGCGTCCATTTGTGGTTTTGATGCCCGTTGATGCGCCTCATTTTTAGAGGAATTTTTATATAGATTTCATGGAGGTTTGAAGCTGTTTTACATTTTTCTTGGATTTTTCAAATGAAAATTGGTGAAAAATCCAGATCTGGAGTTTAGGGCTTGCATGCTCACATGGTGGGTTGGTTGCTGTTAAATCCACTTGCGTTTGAATCATGGTAAATTTCTATGACTACAGGAAGTAGTCTCAGATTTTTTGCAGCCCTAAAACTTTTTTGGGAAATTTTTTTTCTTTCCCTATTTTGCTACCAACACCTTCTTTTCCCTTGTTTTATTGTTGTAGCCCATGTTTAACCTTCAGGGGAAGGTGTTTGGGTGTTCATCTAGTGTTGGGATACTGTCGTGTTGGTGAGAAAAGTGCTTTTAGAGGGGTGGTAATCGATGGACTCACACAAAGATGTGCATGCACCTACCTATGTCCTCCCGGGAAGTAATGACAATGCTGGAGGGCAGATTACTACTGTAAAACTTGATGGAACAGATTTTCTTGAATGGTCTCAATCAGCTAAGCTTATAATTGGAGGAAGAGGTAAGCTTGGGTTTATTACTGGTAAGGAAGCTAAGCCGAAGCTTGAAGATCCAAATTATTCCAAATGGGAGCAAGATAATCTGTTGGTTATGTCATGACTTGTATGCTCTATGCAGCCTCACATCACCCACAACTATATGTTCCTTCCAACAGCTAAGGACATTTTGGATAGGTTAACTTCAACTTATTCTCAAGCAAAGAACACTGCTAGAATCTATTAGTTACGAAGAGAAGCATGTAATATGCAATAGGGGGAGAAATCGGTGCCCATGTATTTCTCTTCCTTACAATCAGTTTGGGAAGAAATGGATCATTTAGAAGCTTTGGAGTGGAAGGGTCCTGTTGATGTTGAACAATACAGGAAGTGCATTGAGAAAAACCGAGTTTTTGATTTTCTTGTTGGACTGAATGCTGATTATGACTTCACCAGGCAACACATCCTTAGTGCTGATATTTTGTCACTCTCCACAACATATTCTCTTGTGCAGAATGAAGAGAGTTGGAGGATTGCCATGATGCAAGTTCCTGTCAGTGAGCACACAACTCTTGTGTCCACAAAACCCAAATAGAGTTCTGGTAAAGCTGAAGAGGTAGTTTGTGAATATTGCAAGAAGCCAAAGCACACCAAGGATAGGTGTTGGAAACTAAATCCTCACCTAAAGTCTGAGAAGTTTAAAACTAGAAAGAAGGTAAATGCTCATGTTGCTACAACTAGTCATGATTCTCAGACTCACATGCTTGAGGGAAATTCTTCTTCTCAAGCATCTACTCATGACACTCTGATGTGATGGAAAAATTGAGAAGGATCTTACTCCATATTGAAAAGAGTGGGTTGCCTACATTTGCTGGTTCACATACACCTTGTGCCTTTGCAAAATTAGGTATTTCACTTGCGTGTCATGCCTCATCCTCTAGCTCTTGGATAATTGACACAGGAGCCAGTGATCATATGACTGGTATGCTTTCCTACTTTACCACTTACAAACTTATTTTAGGGAAAGGTAAGATTGCAATTGCTGATGGATCTCAGACCCCAATCTCGGGTTTGGGTGAAGTTAAATTTACCAACAACCTTTCTCTGAAATCTGTTCTCCATGTCCCACAACTGCATAGAAATCTCTCATCTGTTAGCTCACTTACAAAGTCTCATAACTGTTTTGTAACCTTATTTCCATCTTATTGTGTCTTTTAGGATCAGAGTACGAGGAAGACAATTGGTTGTGGACATGAAGCCGATGGAGTTTATCTTCTTGATCAGTCTCCAAAATTAGGGTTAATGTGTCGGTCTAAGTCTTGCCATGATGAGAAACTAAGTCAAATGAAATTGTGGCATCATTGTCTTGGGCATGTGTCTTTTGGTTCATTGAAGTTTTTGTTTCCTAGATTGTTTGAGTCCTTGTCTAGTTCTGGTCTACAATGTGAAGTCTGTCAACTATCAAAGCAATGTAGAACTACATATTTTGCAAGTAGCAAGAGAAGTAATGTTGCTTTTCATTTAATACATACTGATGTTTGGGGGCCTTATTCTATTCCATGCATGGGTGGTTATAAATACTAAATTCTCTTTGTTGATGACTACTCGCAATATACCTAGTTGTATTTGATGAAGAGCCGAGATGAAGTTCCTTCAATTTATAAAAGGCTTTTTCCGTATGGTGGAGACACAGTTTTGAAAGAAGATTAAGATTATCAGATCTAACAATGCCAAGGAATACTTTGAGAAGCACTTACAAACATTCCTTGAAGAGAAAGGAGCAATTCACTAGAGTTCCTATCCTCATACTCCCCAACAAAATGGGGTCTTAGAGAGGAAAAAACAGACATGTGATTGAAGTTGCCAGGGGATTGTTATTCTAGATGCATGTCCCAACTTGGTTTTGGGGGGATGTTGCATAAACATATGTATATCTTATTAATAAACTTCCTTCGTGGACCCTTCATCTCCAGTCTCCTCATCAGCTTCTTTTTCCTGATGAGGATACCTTCCATATTCCTCCTAAGGTCTTTGGGTGTGTCTGCTTCCTCCATGACATGAGTCCTTCTAGGTTGAAATTTGATCCAAAGTCTATCAAATGTGTCTTCTTGGGATATTCTTCAGTCCAAAAAGGGTACCGTTGTTATGACCTGTGCTTTGGAAAAAGGCATGTGTCCAAAGATTTCACATTCTTTGAGTCTATTCTCTTCTTCTTAGTGAAGATCAGACTCCTTTTTGTATGCCGATTCTTGCTTCGGTTGTAACTGGTGTTGTCAATCCTTCTCCATTCTCCTCGTCCTCCCTGTGGTGTTTGTAATACTCCTCCCGTGCCTCCTCCTCTATCTCTTCCTATTCCTCGATCTCGACAGCAGTGTTTCGTCAGATGGAAAAAGAGGATGACTCCAGGGGTTGAATGTCCATTACAATCTGGCTTCCCGGACTCGGGTAATTTTGATTCTGAACCTCCTCCTATTCCTGATGCTTGTGTTGAACCTATTACTGAACCTCCTATTGTGGTTTCTGACCTTAACCTTCCTATTACAGTTTGTAAAGCAAAAAGGACATGTGATAAATATCCTTTATCAAATTATGTCTCTTATGATACCTTATTTCCCTCTTATTGTGCTTATTATCTCTTCCATTCCTTCTATTTTTATCCCTCATAGTGTTACTGAGGCAGTGCAGTTCCTTCATTGGATGGATGCTATGAACTAGGAAATGGAGGTGCTTGAGAAAAATCAGACATGGGAAATTATTTCTCTTCTAGTGGGCAAAGTTCCTATTGGATGTAAGTGGGTTTACACAGTGAAGCATAAAGTCGATGGCTCAATTGAAAGGTATAAAGCTTGGCTTGTGGCAAAAGGGTACATTCAGTCTTATGGCATTGATTACCAGGAAACCTTTGCTCCAGTAGCCAAGATGAATTCAATTTGAATTATCATGTCTCTTGTTGTCCATTATTCTTGGCCCTTGTATCAAATGGATGTTAGGAATGGCTTCCTTAATGGCGACCTTCAAGAAGAAGTTTACATGGAACTTCCTCCTAGAGTGAACATCCCTAGGAGTGAAGGAAAGGTTTGTCGTTTGATAGATTCAGAAAAGCTATCTTAAAAATTGGCTTCTCTCAATCTTAAGTTGACTATACCTTGTTTATTAGGAGAGCAAATGGAAAAGTGACTATGTTGATAGTATATGTTGATAATATTGTTATCATAGGGGATGATATCGCTAGAATTGCTGAACTAAAGTCCTTTCCTGCTATTGAATTTGAAATTAAGGATCTTGGAAATCTCCGGTATTTCCTAGGGATTGAGGTCACAAGGTCAAAGAGGGGCATTTATATTTCTCAGAGGAAATATGTCCTTGATCTGCTTCAAGAATTTGGGAAATTGGATTGTAAACCAGCTGAAACTCCAATTGATCCCAATTATAAGTTGGGAGTTGATGATGAAGATGTCCTTCCTAACAAAGTTGTGTATCAAAGACTTGTCAGTCATCTTCTGTACTTGTGTTTGACTAGATCAGATATATCATATGATGTGGGTGTGGTTAGCAGATATATGCACAAGCCTAGATCATCTCATATGCAAGTAGTGAATAGAATACTTGTTGTCTATTTGAAGGGATGTTGTATTCTAATCATGGGCATCTAGGTGGTAATGTTGTATCATGTAGAAGTAAGAAACAATCAGTCGTGGCTCGATCTAGTGTAGAGGCAGAGTACAGAGCTATGGCTCATGGAGTTTCAGAATTGTTATGGCTGAAGAACTTGTTGACAAAAATGGGAGTGCAAATTGATACTCCAATGATATTATATTGTGACAATCAATCTGCCATAAACCTAGCCCACAATCCTGTTCAACATGATCGTACAAAGCATATAGAGGTTGATGACATTTCATTAGAGAAAGAGTTGCCAGTGGAGAGATTTGTTTACCTTTTGTGAAGTCTGAAGATCAATTGGTTGATTGTCTTACTAAAGGTGTCTCCAAATCAAAGCTCGACAACAATTTGAACAAGTTGGGCATGACAAATATCTATGCTCAGCTTGAGGGGGAGTGTTGAGAATGTAAGGGCATTTATGTCCTTTCATGTTTTTTGTATTTGGGCGCCTATTCGAGGGCCTATTTTTAATTTTCTTCAAAGTGTTAAGTAAAATATTTCAAGGTGTGAACAGTAACACACCATAGACTCTCAACAAAACCTCTTCTTCTCTTTTCTTATTTCTGAATACTTTAACTTTGGCATTGAAGTTGCTCAGTCTGGTAAAAGCATTTTTATTTTCCAAGGGAAGTATATCCTTGATCTATTGAAGGTTACTGGGTAGTTGGGATGTAAACTAGTTGAGACTGATGTGGATCCAAGTAATAAACTTGGAAAATGTGAAGGTGAAGTGAAACAGTTTCAGATGTTTATCAATGTCAGGGACTTATTGGGAGACTTGTATATCTTTCCATGACTAGACCAGATATTGCATTTGTTGTGAGTATTTTGAGTCAGTTTATGCACTCACCTAGGCCTTCCCACTTTAAGGTAGTCGAAGGTGTTCTTTCCAACTTAAAAAGGCACCTTGGTAGAGATCTTCTCTTCACTAAACAAGGCCATACCAAGGCCAAAGGTTATACTGATGCTGAATAGGCTGGTCCTGTTGATCATAGGTGATCCACCATTGGTTTTTGCACCTTTGTAGGAGGAAATTTGGTCTCTTGGAGAAGTAAGAAGCGGTCTGTGGTTGCAAAGTCAAGTACAAAAGCGGAGTATATGTCTATGTCTTAAGGAGTTACTGAACTATTGTGGTTGAAAAATCTACTTACTGAGCTGGGTGTGTGGGATTCAAATCCTATGTCATTGTATTGTGATAACAAGGCTGCAATCAGCATTGCCCACAATCTGGTTCTTTATGAGAGAACCAAACTTATTGAGATTGGCAAGCACTTCATTCATGAAAGAGTGGAAAGTGGTGAAATTTGTATACCAATTGTTGAGTCTAGGTAGCAAGTGGCTGATGTGCTTAAAAAAGGTTTGACCTCCCTGCACCATGAAGAGCAGCTATCTAACAAGTTGGGTCTGTATGATATCTACAACCCAACTTGTGGGTGAGTGTTGTAAGGTCCTTTTTATTGTATATTTTGGGCACAAGGGGATCTCCTTGTAATTTTTATATTCTTTGGGACCTCTCTGTAATATTTATTTTTATGAATATACAAGGGGTCATAGGGATCCTCCTCTAATATGAAGAGATTCACTCTTCACATTTTGTCTTCTTTTCTTCTCTTCTCTTCATTTCTTCCTTCTCAAATGGATTATCTTTGATAGTAATGTATACCCAAGGTTCAAAATTTCATCAAGTATCGCGGTGAGTCAGGTATATTGTATCATTTTGGTAGCACTTCAATACACCTAAATAACATGTATTTCGGGTTTTGGGCACAATTTCAGAACGTGGCCAGGCCTAAGACTGACCCCTTGTAGACTTTTGAAAAAAAAAAGGCTTGAGTGCTTTGGAAACACCCAATATGCAAGGTTTGTGTTTATCGGTTGTTATCGATATTTAAGACCTTGTGTACACCCTGACTTCAGATGAAGAAGAGACACCAATCATGGTGATTCTTCCCTCCATGTGGTCCATGTTTATGGCTACAGTTGACTTGCATTAGAACTGTAACCTCATTGTGTCATCTCTTCTTTATCTCTACTGCAGAATCATCATTCAGTGTACTAGAAGAGAAGAATAACCAGAAAGGATGAGAAAGAAGTGACAAAGGTAGGTTCAGATGCAAGAGAGAAGCTAAGAAGAAAAATGAAGAAAAGGGAGAAGGAGAAGGGCTGTTTGTTAGTCTCTCTCCAGTCCCCTAATTGCTTTTATTAATTCTAATAAGAATCATTAGTATAATTACAAAGATGCTGTTAATGGGGCAGCCTGCTCATAAACACATAAAAGAAAAGTTTTACAGGCCAATGTAATCAAGGTCCATTAACATAAAATATAACTACTAATAAAAGACAAGAAATAAAAGAAAGATTAGGGCCCATTCAGCCCGGTCTGTCTACAGTAAGCTGCGCTGTAGTAGGGATATTTTAGTCATTAACACGTTGCACTATTCCTTTGTATGTGGGTGTTTGCTTATTCTAGTTTTTCTCCTTTCTCTTAACTTCTCTGTTTCTCTTGATTGAAACATAGTTGACAACTTGGTATGATAGCAAGATCTTGGTCACAGAAGGGGAAGAACTGATTTCTTGATTCATGGGTGACTTCATAATGGTCACTAGATGATGTAAATGAACTCAGATCTGTATGGCTGAAATACCCAGACAGAAGGCTTCTCTTCCAATAGAATGAGTACCTTCTTTGTGGTTATATTGAACATTTTCTATGATTTTTTGGAAGGATCTAGCCTGACTTTTCTGTAGAAAGTGAAAAAATAAAAATCAAATCACATGTATCTGGTTGTCATGTGTGCACAGGAAGTTATTGGCATGTGGTTTTCTAGATTCTATTCCACTATATATCTTTCAATAGATATGAATTGGTTATCCATTCATAAATTCTCTTCTACTCCTAAATTCATGCTTGATTAAGAGAAAGAAGCTTTAATGCTGACTAGGTTGATGTTAGATACAAAGAGAGAATTGGTAAGAGAAAGAAGCAAGAAGTAAGGAGATTAAGGAGGAGGGAAGGAAATAGTAACTGTCAGAACAACAGAAATGTTTTATCAGTTTTTGGAATAAATATTTTGTACTTTTTGGGGTGGGTGAGTTAAAAATGAAGATTTTCTACCAAAAAGAAAGTAGGCAATGCATGTATTTTTTGAACCATTTATTATTTTCTGAACCAAAAAGAAATGGTTTCCTCTTTGACTTGCACAACATCTATATTTTGAACCATTTATTATTTTTACTATCAAGTATTATTATTCTTAATAAATATATGCAGGATTTTTATGATTTGTATGGGTTTTTAATAAGCATCTTAATTTTCCATTTGGTACATGCAGGCTAGTTGTTCAGTTTTGGTGTAGTTACAACACTGTACCCCTAAACGTTATCATTACACAGGTTTGTATACATAACATACTTTGCAAGTTAAAGAGTTCTTTCCATTATGATGCTATTTTTTGTTGAGTGCATAAACATATTGATCCATTAGAAATGCTATTTTACAAATGAAATAAGTAACCCACTTTCAAATGGAATTAAATCATCTGTAAACTTCAGGTTGACATTATTTTAACTGAATATTTTTACAACATAGAGGTAGCATGATGAAGAAATGACATAGGTATGAGAGTTCTCATTTAGTCTTGATATTTCATTTTGTATTCCATCCATCAACAAGTGAAGATAAATATAATAAGTGTCAATCTTCTAGGTTGAGAGAACGCCAAGAGTTTCAGGGGTGTCAAACAGAATGGTTGACCCCCACACCCAAAGAGTCTATATATCTTATTACTTATAAGTTACAAAGAGGACCTTGAAGGGATAAAGATAAAAAAATAATAATTACAAAGAGGTCCTTGGAGGGCTGAAAGATAAGAAAGAAATGAATGCTATGGTACAACAGAGACCATAGAACAACATTACATCAAGTATCTCTACACTCCCCCTCAAACTGATACTGAGACATAAGCATCAGTTTGCCCACAAGAAATAGATGTCTAGACCTCGTCATAGGCTTCGTGGGAATGTCAGCAATCTATAAGTTGGAAGCTATATGAGGAAGGGAAATAGAGCCAACAAGAAATAGATCCCTAATGAAGTGACAGTCCAACAAGAAATAGGCTTCGTCCCCAATATTTTGTTGATATGTTGGTGGTATTTTAGATTTCATTGTTAGACTATATATTTAAGGTTTAAAATTTTAGAATACTATTAAAAGCTTTTTGATATTTCATTAAAATCATCATAATTTTTTAACAATATTTTCCTAAAAGAACAAAAGGAGAATTGGTGATTGGATAATTGGCGTACTATTTGTATATGATTCAATTATTAAGTCATTATGGTTCAAAAGAAGAAAAATGCATAGAACAAAAGAGTATTCTCGATCTAATCAAAACATATAGTAACAAATTGACATATTTAATAAAGAGAAGATGGCTAAAAGGCTAAAAGAGAGATAGAGAAAGATACCTATTAAAGAAAGAGAGGAGAAGAAGAGATGGTTCAGCTGGTCTTTAGAAGAGAAAAATCAATCTCCCAGTCACTAGTTCCCTGTATTCACATGTACTGTATTTATCACTCCACTAAGCACTTTTTCTCTTACAAAATGACAGTCAATTTCTATGTGTTTTGTTCTCTCATGGAAGACTGGATTAGATGTGATGTAAACTGCAGCTTAGTTGTCACAGTACAATTTCATAGGATTGTTGAGTGTATACCCAATCTCTTAGGGGAGATTCTTCAACCACACTAACTCACAAGCTGTGTGTGCCATGGCTCTATACTCAGCTTCAGCATTTTCTCACTACAACTGTTTGTTTCTTGCTCTTCCATGTTACCAGATTTCCTCCAAGGAAGGTATAGTACCCAATAGTAGACTTTCTACCAGACATTGAGCCTGCCCAATCTGCATTTATATAACCCTTTATTTCATGACTTCATCTTGATTTGTATAATAATCCACGACCTCGAGCCCCTTTCAAATACCATACAATTCTCAAAACTATATTCCAATGGGGAACCGGGGGCTTCTACATAAACTGGCAGACCACACTCACTGCAAAGGAAATGTCAGGCCGGATAACAGTCAAATAATTCAACTTACCCACTAACCTCTTGCACCTCCTAGGATCATCAAATTCTTCACCCGCATTAGTGCTTAATTTGATGTTGGGCTCCATGGGTGTTTCGACTGATTTAGTACCCAACAACTTGTCTCTTCTAACACAAGTCAAGCACATACTTCCTCTAACACAAATTTATGCCATGCTTCGACCTTGAAACTTCTATGCCCAGGAAGTATTTCAGTATGGTAAGATCTTTTGTCTAAAAGTGATCATGCAGAAAAGTGTTCAATTTATCAATCCCCAACTTATACCACCAACAAAACCTTTCCAACTTCAGAATCATAGCTAAACATTGAATGATCAACCTGACATTGCTTCATACCGGAATCTTTAACTACCTCACTAAATCTACCAAACTAGGCACATAGAGATTGTTTCTTTGTAAATTGCCTTCTTAAGTCCACACACCTTACCATCCTCCTCCTAAGCAACAAACCCTGCTGCTTTCTCCATATACACTTCTTCACTAAGATGACCATGCAGGAAGGCATTTTAATGCCAAGCTGAAACAAGGTCCAATCATACATAGCTGTTAAGGATATCAAAACACAAACTTAGCCAATCTTGGTAACGGGAGAGAATGTCTCTATATAATTCACACCATACAACTGAGAGTACCCTTTGTAACCAACCTAGCCTACAAGCGCTCTATGCTTGCATCTGGTAAGTATTTGACAATATACACCTATTTACAACTTATACAACATGCTTACCAAGAGGAAGAGTGGTGAGCTCCCACGTGTGATTATGATCAAGGGCTGAGAGTTCTTCTTCCATTGCTTGGCACCATTCTAGGGAGGTAATAGCTTCCTAGACATTCTTAGGAATAGAAATAGTAGACAAAAGGGAAACAAATTGACGATGGAAAGCAGAAAGATGAGGCACAAAAAAATAGTTAGAAATATGATGCAAAGTACAACTACATTTATCTTTACGCAAGGCAATGGGGAGATCAAGGTTGGACTGAGAGGGCACCACATGGTTAGGAACAATTACTGGATCTATTGACGGAGAAGAAACTAGAGGTGGTGAAGACTTGGGAGCAACAGGAATAAGAGGAATGGAGTCATCAACCGGAACTAGAAGTGGAAGCATAGGAGATGAAGAAGAAACATCACTACTTCGAAAGAATGGAACAGACTCAAAGAAAGTAACATCAGGTACACAAAGGAACGTTGAGAAGAAGGATTATAACACTTATATCCCTTCTCTGTCCGAGAGTAGTCAAGAAAGATACACTTTATAGAGTGTGCATCTAAATTGTCCATCCCCAGGCATAGATTATGAACAAAGTGTACACATCCAAAAACCTTGGCAATAAGAGGAAAGAGAGACAACATAGGAAACAAAACTAAGGGAGATTGACCTTCAAGGATAGACAATGGCATCTGGTTAATGAGAAAACAAGTTGTAAGAATAAAATAACTCCAAAAACATTTAGGAACACTCAAATGATGCAAAACGGACTGAGTAGTCTTAAGTAGATGATGGTTCTTGCATTCAGCCACCCCATTTTTTTGAGGTGTATAAGTGCAAGAGGTTTGATGGATGATTCTATGTTGTCCTAAGTATTCTTGAAACGAGGTATAGAAATATTCTTTCCCATTATCAAAATGAAGAATTTTAATGTGAGCACCAAATTGAGTGCGAATTTCAGCATAAAATTTTTGAAAAATGGAGAACAATTTACTCTTTTCTTTCATAAGATAAAGCCATGTCATTCTTGAATAATCATCAACAAAAATTACAAAGTACTTATAATCATTGTATGACACAACTCTGTTTGGATCCTAAATATCAAAATGGACTAAGGAAAAAGATTCAAACTATGACTATCTACTCTAGGACTAAAGGAAACCCGATGGTGTTTCCCATACTGACATGACTCACATTCCAATGAAGAAAGACAATGCAATGATGAAACATGTAACTGAAGTGTCTTGAGAAAAGGATGACCAAGTTTGCAATGCCACTAGAGAGGTGTAAGAGAGAACTGGAAAGCTATTGTCGAACCACCACCATCAAGATAATACAATCCACCAGCTTCATGATCTCCACCAATCTTCATCCCCATCTCGTGATCCTGAAAAACACAAGAGTCAGGAAAGAAAGTCATAGAACAATTGATAGATTTGGTCAATTTGCCAATAGACATAAGAAGGAAAGGTAATTTGGGCACATACAGAACTAAAGATAACGACAATGATGCAATATCTATATTACCAACACCACAAATGAGAGAGGTAGAACCATTAGATAAAGTGATTGTTTGTGATGTAGAAGATGGAAAAAGGGAGGAAAACAAACTTGGAGTCCTAGTCATATGATCAGAAGCACCAAAATTGATAGTCTAGGGTGGAGGTTTGGAAGCTAGACAAGCCTTACATGAGTGGGCAAGAGTAGCCGTATTTTGTTGGGAAGTAGCCTAAAGAAATATTTCATACTCATCACGTGGAATACTCATCATCTCCTTCCCAGAGGCACTAGTAGATGTAAAAGTTGCCTGGTCAGTTTGCTGGGTATCAACTGCTTCACCACCACTTCTTGTATGATTGGCCCATCTAGAAGGTATTCCATGTAGATCATAGCAAAAATTAACAATGTGTCCTTCCATCCCTCACTGTGTACACTTCCTAAGCCCATAACTACGACCTCTACCACAGTTTCCCCCTAAGTCTCAACCTCCACTACGTCCACCACCACGACCTCCTCTATTCCCACGGCCTCCCCTCTCATCACTGCAAAGGCTGATCTATCTGAAACTGTAGTACTGTCTGAAGACCCAAAATTAATCCTACGGAGTTGTGCAAACACCTCCTCAAGAGAAGGAAGAGCAGAGCCTCCTAGAATCTAAGCTCTAACTGGTTCGTACTCAACCTTAAAATCCACTAAAAATCTGGTCACATCCGGTTTCTCCCTTTGTTGTTGCTGAATTTTAACATTTGATGTCAAAGCATGATAGATATTTAGCTAATTACAAAGGTTCCTTGTACTAGCATAATACACCTTAAGTGTCTGATTTCCTTGTTTTAGATTAAAATATTCTTGATAGAGCTGATATACCCTTGTAGTATCTTGTCTCGAATAAAGCTTTTTGGCATGGTCCCATACCTCCTTCGTTGTATCAAGAAACATAAAATTCACATTGATTTTGGGTTCCATACCATTCCACAATCATGTCATAATTTGTGCATCTTCTTGTTCCCAATCACTATATCCTTGAGAATCAGCTGAGGGTTTTTCTTCTTTCACATGTTTCATCTTCTTCTT